GCAGTCGGTCTCGACCCATCCTTCGGAGGGGAAAAGTAGCGCAGACTTCCAGAGACGGTGGAAGGCTTGTTGAGTGTAGCAGGCATTGTCGACTTGCGATTTTTGGTGAGGTGAGCTCATTTATACGCTGCGAGAACTGAATTATTACAAGGGAATCAGAGGGATATTGGAATGGACACTGAGTGAAGAGTGCTCGCGTGACGGCCGGGATAGGTCAGCGTTTACGCATCTTCAGTCAGCGCTTTCAATGCTATTACTCCGAGCCACCGGCAAATAAGAACTCTTCAATTCACAAATATCCCGATAGCTCGGAGTAAGTACTAGTATCAGAAGGTAAGTGGTGTTCTTGGAGAATCCCAGGTGGTTACTAAAGGTGGCATCGGAGACTATTTCTGGAAGGATCTCGCAGACTCAAGTATACAGAAAAGGGAGGAGTACGGGAAATTCCCCGAAAACGAAATACAGTGGTGCACTGTCGCCATAGTTTTACTTGAAATCCCAAAAGATAGAACCTTGACATCTTTTGTAGTAGAATTCGACAAATTTTTGAAGAGTTTCAGTTGGCAGAACATCGATTACAGAAGACGTTTTGAAGGGAATGAATCAAAAAGAATAACAAGATCAGAGTCTGTACACCGGATGCTCGCTCTCCAGGGTGGAAGTGAAATTGCTCTTCTATGATTCGGACAACCCATTTCGTAGAAGGGAAAGAGCTTGACTGAGGCCTTGGATTTGATGTCGCCCATCATAAACATACTCTCTCACAAGCTTGTCCCCAGAGACCCAATTGAGTGGTTTACTAGGCTTATGGGAATGCCTCAATGCGATCCGGAACCGGCGTTCAATGTCCAACATCAGCAAAACCTGTACCATCACAATACATTTCTTTCGTCTCTGGAGCAAGGATAGTAATTCCAGAGATCTCCAGAGACCTCTGAAGACGTCTGGAGGAGTTTGACAGCTTTTTGACAGCTGTCAGAGCTCTGGAGATCTCTGGAGACCTCTGGAGACCAACCAGGTTTTGCTGATGAACATTTAGTCTAGTAAGGACACTTGCTCTTAAGGTTGAAGGGATCATTTAGGTCTAATACGACGAGCTGCCAGCCTTATCGAAAGCTACGCTGCGAAAAGCAGTAATACTCCACTAAGAATAAATAAATAAAATAAACAGTCCACGATCATTAGTCCCAGGCTAAGTCCCAGGCTACCTAGAGGCTAGTAGGGAGGTCGACTACTTATAGAAAACCGCCGATATCGTCAACATCGGACACCCATGCTCACCTATTTGACTTGGGGTTACAAGTGCTCATATGATTCATGGAAATATATATATGTACTAGGATTTCGAGAATCGTGATTCGTCGTACTTGGTCGGCGTATATTATTGAGGGATTGGCGCCCATGGGCGCTTTGACTCTTTGTCAATTCGACCTTGATTCGACCGTTAAGCGTCAAGGCCTCACAACACCAACCTTGGGATTCCGGAAAATCCTTCTCTGGCACTTTCAACTCTGATATCGTTCTGCTGTCTGTATGGCTTAACGCGCCGTTTGACCCGCAGAACCCTGCAGTACCTGGCCCTAAGGAATCGGGATAACTCAAGTCTTACTCATATCTCGACTATCTTTACAATCAGCAATAGTTTTTCTGTCGCGCGGAGAGCGGCTATGCCGTTTCGAGACATGTGGATCCTGATTCTGTCCACTGTTTGGTCTGCACCGCAAATTACGAGCCAACGTACAACAGGAGGCTAAGCAAAAAGATCTCGCTAAACGGGCGGATACTCGAGCAAAAGAGGCAGTTGAAACAACTACTTGAGAATTGGTCTCAAGGTCTCAAGTACGCCTCGTCAATCCTCGATAGTGTGCATACTTTGTTAATCACTTTTATCATTCTAGTGACTGTAGCTTGGACTCGGATGACCATCTGCAAACACCTTCGATATTCTGGCCTATCTGAGAACACCGCATGAACCTGGCAGCGATGGGTCCATCGACGTGCTTATCGCAAACTCGCTCATCGCGTTTTACTCTCTTTCACCCAATGGGAAAAAGTCCCTTTTGACGTCCTTTTATATCCGTCGTTCAATCATATCCTCAGAGGCTACGTTGACCAAAGAATCTGACATTGAGATACCCACCTTTGCCACGGAGATGGTAGCCATGTTTGTAAACCCATTGGAGCAACTCAAAGGTCGGAAGTATCGTTCTCAGGTAAATCGACAGACGCTCGAGGGTTGGATCAACCTTTTCCGATATCTATGGAAAAGATTGCATTCAGTCGTTGCTGGTCAAAGACGAGCAGAAGGAGCAGAAAGTTTGTCACTACTACGACGCCAGACGCTACCGTCATTTCTTCCATCGTCTGGGCTTCAATCAGTACTCCAACATCTTTTTGGTTCATGACAAATGGTGCAACGTCGCTATATGTTTGCCTGAAAGCCCAAAAGATAGAACAATTTTTTGAAGTTGGCAGAACATCGGATACCGAAGAAACTTGAAGAATTTCATGCAAAATAATTCCTGAATTATTTTCTCATCTTCTTCTAGTCCAGCTCCTTCCTCCCAAGCATAATTTATCTATCTATGATCCTTCGTATTCAACTCTTTGGCTCGGTCATCTTCAAGCTTCCACTTCCCATGACAGACTCGGCGAAAGTCTGAAAATCCTTTCTGGAGCAAAATCTTCCCGGCTGCGGTACAGCGCGTCGGTTCTGGTATTTCAAAGCTTGAAAAGGTTTCTCGTACCTTTAACGCATACACGACAATCTCCTGCGGGGCAGATGCCGTTTCAGCCAGTAAAATTCTGAGTATGCATTCCTGGGTGTCGAATGTGCATCGAACTGTAGGTTGAAGTCGAGTGTTCATCGAAACCTTCCCGAGATCTCGACGAAATACTATAGTTCCCAGGTTAACAATATAGTTATAGAAAGAACTGCCGTACTCACAGACACGCTGATTGGACGTTTTCTTATTCGACAAATACTTCACTTGACCCAAAACTCCATTCGAGAAACCTTGACTTCCTCGTTTGACAAACAACTTTACCCCCTTCAACTCCGACTCAACGTCCTCATCCTCCTCTCCAGTCACATCTACTTGTTGGATGAGCGCACAACTTCTTGATCCTGCTTGCGGAAATACTGACGATTAATTCTTGGTGTATCCCCGCGAGATCCTAATCCAAGGGTATGAGTGCTTGAGCATTCCCCTCCACTTTCTGAGTCATCATCAGGTTTATCGATGAAGGAATGTCGCTTTCGGAAGTTGTTGGATGTAGACCATACTGGCCTCATATTCGCGCCCGATGCCAAGGTTGCATTGCCGAACGAAAACGATGCAGGCGCAGAGATTGCAAAACTTTCGAATCCCGTGGTTGACCCGGATTTTGGCGTAGATGGTGCTTGTGCAGGGGGACGCTAGATTGCGCCTTAGCTCCTTTCAGGGTTCTAGTAAATGCTCTTACCTCAGGTGAAACTACAGCCTTTGTCAACTCCGTCTTTGCGAGGACCTATCGCTTGCATCGTTGAAACCCATTGCAGCACAATTGAAAAGAACTCACCTCTTCACTTGTATTGTTATTAGGTTGTGGAATCGGCTGCGCCTCATCCACGACTTGCGTGGTTTCCTCTAATGTGCTTGTAGCCGCCTGGATTGGTTCAGATATGGGCACAATGTCATTCTCATTCTGAATAAGGATCGCAAGTCAGAAATTGCATCTGCTCTCACTTCCAAGCTTACCTGAATTTTAGAGTCCACGGGCTCAACCGATTCCTCTTTCACGTCACTGGATGATGCTAGCGGAGGTGGAGTTTTGCAGCGTTTGTTGGGGTATAATTCCGCAAGGTTCTAAGCAGCAATTAAGTTTCTGGTTCTGAACCGCAAGGATGCGTACGGCGTACGTATGGGTATTCTAATGGCTAAAACCGCACATCGTTAAACTTCGTTACCAAATGGAATGATACTTATGGACATACATTATTATTTTCATCATGATCGTCCATTCGCTTGCGCTTCAACGATGGACCTCTTTCTACAGTCAATTGAGCCGGTTCTGAAACCAGGACTGCAGCCTCCGAAGGCGAGGTAGCAGGTAACATGGTGATATCGGATATGCTAATCTGCGGCTCACTTCCTTCGGAAGAGGAAGCTGAGAATTTTTCGTTCTCGTTCTCGCTCTCGGTTTTGTTCTCTGATCCATGGAGCGTAGGCGTAGGAATGTGGACTACATCTGAATGTGGGATCATCAAGCATGGCTACTAAGCTTTGCGGTTCGGTGTCTTCTAGATTTTGTACGGACTCCGATGCGCTGACATGTTTGAATAATAGATGAGCTTTCTACGTCTGCATAGATAGAGTAAACACACTAACGGTTCTATTCTTCGTCTCTTCGCATAAACGTATCCCACCGTCGCAGCAAATGTCGCCATTCCACAGCAAACAAAATTCAAATCGGAAACAGGGAACATTTTGGCTTGACTAATGTTCAAAGCAGCGTAAGGGTTGAAAGGTGAGCTTTTTGTTGGTGGAGGAAAAGAACGGATCGATGGCGAGTTTAAATAAGACCGATAAGGAGCTACGCACGCATTGAATGCATGTCTTCTCCGAACCTTGCTGTGGCCTCACGTCTAGTCAATTATAATGCAGGTCATCCGCTCTGATTCCTGTCGTTTGGCACAGCCAATAATTATCTTAGCACGCGCAGACGCGCGCGCAACACACAAGAACATCGTGATATGAACGCAACATGAATGCAGCTTCATCGTTGCAAAGCTGTTTCGTCCACAAATTTTTCTTTGCGTCCGGAATGCTCCGATTCGGAGGTTATAGTAGGCGTGTATGAAGACAGGCTACATGCAATGAAGTCGACTCATTATCACCGCGACAGAGGAAGTTATGCAAAGCAACTTGTATGTTCCTAGTAAGGAAATTAAATATGCGCTTTCTAGAAATAAGCAAACCGAAGAAAGGGGAAAAAGATATGTAACTTGAAGACAAAAATGCCCACTGGCAGGATCGAACTGCCGACCTTTGCATACTTCTATGCGCAGATAACACGTCATCCCATAAGTACAATGCTCTACCAATTGAGCTAAGCGGGCATTGCTAACGTAATCCATTGGCAAATTATATACTTGTAGGATTTTTGACTGCTGTTGAGTGGTTATTGGAAAGGACTTTGAATTGAACATCGAACCCATATTAGCATAGATAAAAGCAGGGCAATATCCAGAGCATTTCCTCGGCCATAATCGACGCGTTGATTTCAATCGCGGGAGATCGCGGGAAACAAGAAGGTGGCGCCTCCGCTCAAACCACTACCACCATGGCGGAGCTTGAAGAGCTCCTACAAGTTGTGGTGCAATACCTCGTTAATAGGCCCTTAGTAGAGCGACAACAACCTTTACTTCGCTGGAAATATTCCATCACTGAACTCCTTTCCCTATCGTTGGCCAATCATCAATTTCGACGAATCTGCATGCCATTTCTTTTTGCGTTTATGAAGGTAGATTTGGAGAGATTCGTAGATCAATGTGTTTCCAATGAAGGACTTGCATCTTCCGTCCGATATGCTAATCTTCGATCCATGTACCTGATGTTGAACGGACTGGTAGGACACTTTATTTGAACGAAGATGCACCCAGGATGATCCTGAAAAGGGACGAAATCAACAATATAGATATCCTTCTACACCGTTTAACAAATCTCTCGCAGATTGATCTGGGATGGATTTCGCTTGATACGTGCTTGCTCGCTGTCATAAATCGCCACCCAGTCCCAACCGTGCTGGCACTGATGACGATCTATGATATGCTATTGTCCAACGCGCATGAACTGAATCATTCGAACCTATCGAAATTCCTTCTTTCCGATCTCGATTCGACGGTCCCTATAGAAGATTTCCTTGCCTACGGTATGCAGGTAAGGTGTGTATATGCGGAAGTGCGGGATGGATTTGCAGCTCACGCTAGAACTTGACGACATAAGACAGTTCTATCCTGGCTCCCTGAGCTTATACGCTCTCACGAACTTCTCAAAAAAATCCGTTTTATCACTGATTACAGGTGGTACAACACATGGCATCCTACACCATTCGTCCATCCATTTATTGAAGCGGTGGTGAAAGAGGGCCTTGCTATGAGCGTGGCCATCCACGGCTATAATGTTACACGAATCAAACCAGATACTACACAATCGGGATCAGCGAAGATAGGATCCCTCAGCGAGTGGGATGTTACCGGGCTGAACTTGTCGCGCATGAAGTTTTTTCTCAAATATCCAGCCTGGCTATTGAGGTATCATCGTATGTCAGCTCTGTAAGTCATTTGTGTTATTTATTTGAATGCGTTTCAACTAATCATAGCTTGAGGTATGTAGAACGAACTTATCACCGCTCTTGGTCACTTTTACTCCCTCCGAGTTGTGAGCTTGGTCCGGCCATCCAACCTTCTAAACTTTGGAAGCCGGACACCTAGTGTTGGCTCGGCTGAGGATGTGATCATACAGTGCACATCCCGCATCGTGCAACAGATACCTACCATTGAAGCCCTCCATATCATCGTAACAGGAAGTACGAGGTATTTTCATGGGTGGCTTGAAGTGCAGACCTTGGATGGACTCTCTCGCACTGTAAAGCCCCTGTGGGTCCGGGATGGCAATGAGAGGGTTTCACCGCCTCAGCTAAATCAACTCATCTCTCCTTCCACGATGACCTGAATCTCTAAAATGACACTGTTCCATCTACATATATCTTGAGAAGTATCCATGTAATTGGATGTAAGCAAATACCTCTCAGTTATAGGCTCGGAACACCTATGGGCAACGGTGGGAACCTCGTGTACGTGTGCATTCCACCTACTGCTGAGAGGTTTGCGGAGGATCCAGATAACCGATGAACGAGGACTGAAATCACACAATGTCACACCACGTATATAAATGTCACGCGCAATGTACTGCTCTACCTGAAACCACCATTGACTTGAACTAATATTGGATTCTCACCGCTCTAAACAAACTTCGGCTACTCATCACGAAACGAGGGGAACCGTTCCGTTCAAGACAACTGCCTAACCGTGTTCCGACGTCCCGACTCGGAGAACTACGTGGAACTTTCCCACTTCCACGTCGTTACTTAATAATAAAGCTCGAAAACTCTTCAACTCTTAACATCGCATCTCACTTGTCCCGTATTCTTTTCCGATAGAATGTGGAACACTCAGCTATTTGCGTTGACACTGGCCTTGTCCTCATCGTTAGCCTCGGCTGCCATATTCCCAAAGGACACTACCGTCAAAATGCTCGATCCAAAGGAATTTCGCAAAGTTATGAAGCGTAATGTATGCATCAACCTATTTTCCATCCTGCTTGAGTCCTAATGAGCTTTTTAGGAAACTAGTATGGTTGCATTTGTCGCGCCTTGGTGCGGTGTAAGCGCAAAATGATTTACTAGCTACGAGTTCAAGCTGCTTACCATCCGAATAGCATTGTCAACGGATGGCTCCAGAGTACAGCAAGGCCGCATTGGGACTTTATCCTCTTGTTCCTACGTATGCAGTCGACTGTGACGACGATGCGAACAAACGTCTATGTGCAGAGCAGGTACGTCCAGTTCTGTCATATAACTAATGTCTTCGTCTCACCTATCTTATCTAGGATGTCAAAGGATTCCCAACAGTCAAGGCAAGCCATTTCTCTCTCCTTCATCTGGTCACCTTTTCCAACTCATTGCGATCCAGCTCTTTCCTCGAGGAAAGTACGTCCCACCGATGACCTACGATTCCGGTGAACGAACTGCTACCGCATTTTTCTACTGGGCATCGAGACGTGTTCCGAACCACATCAATAAACTGGGCCAGTTGCCAGAAATTCAGCCTTGGGTCGAAGAAGTACGTTCGTTCTTGCAGATTCCTTTTTTCTTCCTTACTAACCATTCAATTAGTCCGCTAAAAGGAGTCTTCCTCGTGCCCTTCTTCTCACAAAGGAAAAGAAGACACCTTTACTGTGGACAGTCTTGGGCAACAAATTCCAGGGTGAGATCGAACTGGCTGTACATCGTGATCGCAAGGGAAAGAGTTCTGTGGCTTTGGGATACGATGCAGAAATAGATAAAAAGTCCAAGATTCTCATATACCCAGTCGGATCAACCCAGGCCGTGCGCTATGAAGGTAGGACGTTCGTTCTTCCGCTATGATAATAACAAGCTTCAATCCCACTTCCATCTATCCAGGTCTCGCGAAACTCGACTCCCTCTCCAAATTCCTCGAATCCGTCATCGACGGTACCGCCGACCTCAACATCGTCAATAAAGAAGCCGCAGCCGAGGAATTTGTTCCGGACGAAACCGAGCTCGAGATTGAGCGCAAGCAGGAAGCCCAGCGTATTGCCCTTGCACATGGAGGCTTTGCCGATATAATCGACTTTGAGGAAGCTCTCAAGAACGGTCAAGGTGCCAATTTCCATAGCTCGCATGGGTACCCAGGGTCGATGGATGATTTACCGAAAAAGAAGGCAGCTGAGGAGGTGAAGGCAGATGGAAGCGAGTCGAAAGCAGGAGAGCCTATCGTGGAATCGGAAAACGTCGCAGACCAGGCCGCATTTGCCGCGGAGCCTAGTGTTCCTGCTGCACCTACGCCTGAAAGCGAGACGGCGGAGCCTGCTGAGCCCACTGTTCCTCCTAAGGATGAGCTATAGTTATAGTCTGTTATATATACTTATTCTAGTAGGTTTTTGGGCGTCATTGTAAAGGCTAAGGTTGAGATTGATTGCTCCTATATTATTATTTTCGCGTTCGTAGTATGCGTGCAAATATGCAAGTATGCGTGGATGTAATCAAATCATGCAAGTTGTTAAAAGTTGGTATAGTTATGCTGCGTACACTCCCCACATAAAAGAACCCCACATAAAGAAACGGAAAAAAAAACTCCTCCACAAATAAGTAAGTATAAATCCAAAATTCAAGTGAATATTGCCTGTAATCAAACGCGTGCCAAACAGATTGACGCGCCAAAAGTCTCGTATCAACAGATGGAAGCTTCGTTGTCGTATGTCGCCATTGAAAAGAGTCAGAATCCTAATACGACGCGGACGAATATCGCCGCGCGCGGAACGCTGGACGTTTAATCATGTCACAAGAGCATAGCAAGCCCTGTTAACGAGCTCATAACACCAAATGCGGTCATCCAAACCCGTCCGTCAACGGCAAGACCAAGGCCGCCATTCGATGAGCTTGAGGATGAGGAAGGAGAGGCAGTGGCGAGAATGACCGGAGTAGTACCACTAGCACCAGCAGCACCTTTGGTGTTACCCGCAGCAGCAGCAGCCGACCCGCTAGATACAGCGGAGGCAGAGGACGAGGAAGAAGTGGTTGCCTAGTAGGGTATTATAAAAACCTGAGGAATAATCAGTGGTAGAAATACGTACAGCAGTGACAGTAGATGCAGTGACGACGCCGTCGGGCACATCACTGGGTAGTCCAAGTATTTCAGTTCAACATGATCGTCGAAAGATACGAAGAAAATAATCTGACCTTGCAAAAGATGGAGGAGCGCTAGCCACTGCGTCTACGAGAGCACCAGTACCTGTTGAAGCCGTTCATTAGCTCAAGAACATGAAGCTTTGAACAAAAACAAGAGGCCAAGCAAGAGATCTTGGTTGTATAGAGAAAAGAACCGCACTAACCCCAGGGAATCGATTCGCCGTCAGGCTGCGTACTATTGGTGGGCGTAGCTGTAGAAGCCGTCATTAGAACAAGAGTTTGAACGGAGAACTGGAATGCGCACTAGTTGCTCCTGAGGAAGAGGCGATGGCGAACCTGGTTGTCCACTGTGGATTGGAGGTTTCAAGAGGGGACACGAATTGATAGAAATAGATGTCTGAGTAGGGATTGACCTGAGGGCAGGTCCAACTGAAGGTGCCGTCTTTTGTACCATCCTGTGGAGTTTCGTTAGCATTAGGTGGAAGAAGAAAATTCAAGTCAAGCACCAGTCCAGTTGCAACCGCTGTAGAAGGAACAGGGATAGAATTTCATTAGGCTAGTTACAGAAAGAACATTACGATACGAACTGGTCATGAAAACCATGTTATAATTGCTCCCAGTCATAAG